CAAGAAGGAAGAATTGATGCCATCAATGCCCGGGGATCTATTACTACCCAGGCTAAAGACAGCATTCTTAACCTCCTGTTCTGTGACCTCCGCTTCCAGCGCAGCATTCATATGTTCAAGGATCTTATCTTCCTGCAAGAATTCAGGCCAATTCATCACAGATATCTGCCGCTCTTTCCATTTCGACACAAAGAAATGCCAAAATTCTTCCTGAATGAGCTTCGGGTCATTAACACATTCACCAATCTGTTTTTGAATTTCCAATATTCTATTACTTCGTCTACGAGCCGAAGCATTGGAGTGAAAAAAATGGGAGTTGGCATCCCCTTCCTCAATCCACTTTGTTTTAGCTCTTTGTCTCCACCACGTCGCCAACCTTGCCAACGTGGAATTAAGCTCCCCAGCCTTTCTATGCAGCTCACCATCTTGTTCCCCATTCAGTCCATCCGCCGAGCATTCAATCATTTGAAGTTCCTCAATGCAACTTTCCAACGCAACCTTCATCTCACCCAATTCTTTAAGACGATTCCGGCTCTAGAAAAACAGGACCTTAAGCGTCCTAGAGCATTTACGATTTAAGATCTCATCAGGCTGTCCAACATCCTATTTATGCCACTTACTCCACACTATCTTCCATGTAGCTGGATAAGTCATCCAGATGTCTTCAAATTGAAGCCATCTACTACCATGCTTCATCTCATTGGGAGCTAAATTCAACATCAAAGGACAGTGGTCCGAGGCTATGCGAATGAGGTTCTTAACAGTAGCCAAGGGGGCCAACCTGAGCCCAACAGAGTTCATAAGAACTCTATCTAATCGCACCCAAATCTTACTGTTGCCACTCTTGTTATTCGACCAAGTATATCTCGGTCCCATAAATCCCAGATCATGCATATCATTAATAACCATAAAATCTGCCATCTCCTGTGCACCAATAGTGTAGCTGTATTTCCTACCACCTTTCTTCTCCCCCTGATTCAGACAACAGTTAAAATCTCCCCCAACTATAATTGGGAGGTCAGAGCTAACCAGAGGGCCAATCTTATCCCACACAGTCTTCTAGTATGATACTCTTTACTATCATAAACAACAAAAATTCCCCATTTCTGTGAATTATGTAAAACCATATTACCAACAATCGCCTACTCCATTGTCATAACCACTTCAAACTGTACAGTATCCCTTCTCCACAAAGCCAACATTCCTCCCGATTTACCCGCAGTAGGAACATGGAAAAGTCCCAGTTACAACCAATGAGTTTATTAACCTCCAATCAGTTGAAACTTGCACCATGGTTTCAATCAAACCAACAAAATTTACCTCATTATTGCTAACGAGGCTACGCAAGTAGTACCCAGTTTGCTTCTTACGGGCCTGCAATTCCAAAAAAGGATAGACGACTTTAATAAACTAAAGGGGAAGTGTCCCCGCCGCCTTGATCCTCCCCCAAACCATAGCTAGTAGCTTCCACCATCTCCTTTCTTCTTTTCCTGGGAGCCTCCATAATAGGTCCCAATTAATTAAGCTCCTTCAGAGCATTGGCTCTGTTAGCCATTCTTATACCAGCCGTAAACGGCAACCTCTGCTTAAACCCCATCCTGCTCTATTTATGAGTGGGCTTCAACTTACTATCTGGCACATGAACCTTGTTCAAGTCCACTTGCTTCGGAATGTTGAAGTTCTGTTTACTGCCCAAATTCTCCTTATTCTTGCCTTGTGTTCGTGTATTTCTTCTTCTTCATGGGGGAACTTGAATCCAAAGACCCATTTGATCCTCACTATCCTGCGATCCTTCCTCTGTGATAACGTTGCCCCCATTAAATTCATCATGTGCATCAGCATTCCCCCCTTTATCTCGACTGTCAACAGAAATACCTTTGCTACCACCCTCTGTTTTAACAACAGGTAACACCATCTTCTTAGGTTGTATGGGATCCAATTTCCCATTCCTACCCAAATTCTGGGCAGAGCTACATTCTCCCTTGCCACCCTGCTTCAATTGTTCCTCTGCTCTTCTGACCTCATTCCCCCCTTGTCCAACAGCTTTAGATGGACAGAACTCTTTCCGATGCCCCACTCTTCTGCATCCATAGCACAAAATCCCAATGCTTTCATATTCTACCTTTTGGTAGAACCTTCCATTCATACCATTAATCCAAATACCAGGTTGAAGTTTGTTGTCCAAACACATTCGAACACACACCCGGGCATATTCTCTTCTACCCCAATTTCCCGTCTTCGCATCGATCCAGAGAGGCATACCGATCTTCGACGCAATCCTGACAATATTACAATCATCCCAATACTGAAGAGGAAGATTTGGAAGACGTATCCATACTGGGGAGGATAATCCTTCCATCAACTCCGGAGAGAAGTGCGGCGTCCATCTATCCAGCCCAACGATATTACCTCCGATGAACCAAGGACCACCACATAACACGGCATTCCTGGCTTCAATCGATCCAAAAACACAAACAAAACAGTCATGTCCCAGCATTGTTAGCTTAAATTCCCCAAATCGTCCCCACTGACGCACGATTTCATTCTTCAAGAGGAAGAACGAAACTCTCCTACCCATGATCTTCCCTACAACAGCTCTTTCTAATTTGACCACATTCGCCATAACATACTCCATGTTGAGATCAATAGTGATCTCATCATTAGATAACGCATTTATCTCCTCTGGATGTTGGATTGGAACATCCTCAGGCTTCCTCCAAGCATTACTCACACCACCAGAGAATAGAGGGACTCTATTCTCAAATTGTACCGGAGCCTTTCCTTTCGTAATCTCCAGATTCACCGAGCTCCTGATTGAAGCAGCATTCCCACAATCACCTAGAGGGCTATTTCGCTAATTATTCAATCCAGCACAACCATCCTCTGCTTCGTTCACCCCTATCATCTCAACCACAGCTGATTCCCTCTCCAGAGCATTGCACCCAACATTATCCATAATAACATTATTCTGATCATTCAAGTTAGCACTAACCTCCATCACGCAGTCGGCTCCAATCATCGGATCAACATTCACCAATGACTGTTCGTTGACAATCTTCTTCGCTCCAGTCCGACCCAGCATAGCTGCATCAACATCGAACATCTCTTCCAGATCTATGCTCTCCTCCCGCACCGATTGCATTTCTTCCACCTCCATTGAAGATTCCGTCCCAACAAAGGTCGGATTAATCCTCAAACTCACTTTCGAGGCTGGCACCAGCTCCATCTTAAAACTAGGAGGAGAATCCTCCCTCTTCGTAGCATTCGCATGCGTCTGAATACCTCCTTTAGCAATCGACATTGCCGTTTTCAGATCCAAGCTCCGCGGTTTGACCTCCCAACGACCTTCCGATGATCCATCTGATCTCGTCTTTCCCACTTCACGAGATTTGCCTTTCAACTTCCCAGTCGCAGGTTTACTCGGAGATCCACCCGATCCCGTCCCCGAATGAACCACATTCTTCTTCGAACCTCCCGGACCAACTCCAGAACACCTTCGCTCATCACCGCCGATCGATCCGTAACCACAACGCCCGCTTGAGCGGGGGGGGAGACCTTCGGTCGCCCCCCGCCATTTCCAGAGTTTCTCTCACAACAAATCGCTTAGAGAGAGAAACAAACGGGCAGAAATGATGCTTGAGTGAGGGGGGAGAGAGAGAGAGAGAGAGAGAGAGAGAGAGAG